ACGATTGCCAGGCTGTATCATTTTCGTGTTTGAACGCCTTTCGGCACTGGTCACGACCATGCCGGTTGAGATCTGGCCTATTATAAAGCCAGTCTCGTCAAAGTTGTAGATGTCTGAGTCTACGATGCCGTACTTCGCGATTGTGTTCGCCATAAGTAAGAACTATGCGTTAATTGCGCCCGGATCTTCGTATTGGGCCCTCTTGTAGTCGTACTTGCGAAAACGACGCGTTCGCAACTCTGGTTGTCGCTTTACGAAGTTCGAAGCCCATCGCTTCCTAATAGGGGGCGCGTCACGATCAGCGAGCAATCGATTCGCCATCTCTTCAACACCGCGAAGACGGGGAGGAAAACATCTGGCGTCCAGGTCGAGGATGTACTCAATCAGCTTCTTCTCTTCTAGCAGCGTCAAATTCCGTGAGTTGGGTGTGCTATTACGTCGTGATAACGTTCCCTCTAATCTGCGGCCTAAGGTAACGCGACTGATGTTATAGATCTTTGCCGCGGCCCGAATACTGAGATTTCGGTCTTTCTGGGTAGCCTGAACCGCTAAGTTTAATTGGGTATCTTTGTTCTGTACTGTCATTGTTTTCGATGGAGAAATGCGTGTTGTGATGATGTAGGTGGCACGATGGCGGTTGGGTGGCCCACTCGCTTGTCTGGCCCACTCGCTTATCATGTACGTTATAAGTTTTAGAATTTTAGTAAATATTTTAAAGTTTCATTTTATATATTCTTTTACCCTCCTTTAAAACTCTTAATTACATAAAAAATCTAGGTTTATCAATATTATTTTATTATATATAAATAAGCTATCAATAAAGGTAATATTTATTTATTTTTTATAAATTAATATAGAGTATATTATTTCTTACTTTCATCTACCCTACTACTTATGAGGCGGTGCTTAATATATAACCTATAATATAAATATAGAATATAAATAAACACTCTTATTATTTTAATAAAATAAAATTTTCGGGGTTTTCGGATACCTTTTTTATTTACCCTTTATAACCACGGATTAGTATCAATAACGGTAATATTAATTATTTTAGGTATTTATTCTAAGCATATAAATACTTAAAAAAGCTTACCCTTTATAAATATCTTTGTATTTAATTACGTTTTAATAATATACATTAATATATACGTATCTTTATAGTTTAATTTAATAATATGATTTTCAACCTACATAGAGCTTTTATTAAAAAGGTACCCCTATCTTAAGTTTTACATAGTATAACGCCTGGGTAAAAAGATAGCCTATGGCTAACGTTAATCGGAGGTCGTCCGTCTACTTAACTACGACGGTAATATCGTTAAGGTTAAAGCCGCTTAAGGTTACGCCGCCGTATCTTTTAAACATTCTAGCCAGTATAATACCGAATCATAATATAATTAATATACCGAAAATATCTTTATTATAACGTAACTATTAAAGTCCTGATATATTAATATACCTTATAATACCTTAATACCTTTGAAATAAATATAAGCATCATAAGTCGACTATTTAATATTAAAGGTAGTATATATATAGTAGTTTAAATTAATTTATTCAACCTAATATAATTAACTTACTTATGATTATTAAGTTCTATACCCGAGACCTTACTTATTGTTATTTAAAAATATATATTATTAACCTAAGCCTTTATTATATATTTAAATACAAGCTTTTAATATTATATTTTCTGTTAATAAATCTTTTAAAAAGAGAAAATATCTCATTATTCATCTTTATTATATTAAGAATAAATAATATTAACGTTTTTAATCATACATTAACGTGCATGATAAGCGAGCGGATTGGACAAGCGAGCGGATCGCTCGACAGCAACCAATCCACGTATGTAAATCTTGATCAACATCAACAAAGTTTAATTAATTGAAACTACCCATAATCCTCTTCTCTAGACATTTCTCTCTGAAATGGACATGTGCGCGCATTATTATATCCAGTGTTCCCGCAGACGCCACATCGCCGTTGACCTGTTTCCGTCCTCGGCCGACGGCCACTACTCCGGCGTATTTCCTCTTTAATCTGAGCTGTAGCCTCTCTCTATGATTGAAGGTCATCTGCCTCGGCTATAGTAAGGCTCCCTCCTTGCCTGAGACGAGTTTTCTTAGATCTCTGCCGTCGGCTAAGTAGATTATTCTCCCCCCAAAGGTTTTTATTCTTAGCCTCTAGAAGAGTATTACGATGTATCATAGCTAGCGTCCCTTTAAGGATATGGTTAACTACGTTATTAGTTAGTGTTGGCGAGCTATTTGGATGATTTAAGATTCGATCTTTAATTAAAGTTGACTGAGAATTTGCCTTTGTTGGGTTGTTTAGTATCTGAGAAGTCTACGCTGGGGGTATTGCTGGGAGAGACCCTGGGGGCGTTGGAGTGTGTAACTTCACATCCAGCTTCGAAAGCACACTTTCAGCACTTAACAGAACAAGCCCAGCCCCTCTGAAACCTCCCTGGATGTTTTTTACCGTTAGGGCTTGCGTGAAAGCGTTGCAAAATGTAGGGAAGAAGTCCTCCTTTGTAATATGCGTATTACCCCGGCGCATCTTATCCTCAATTTGTCGACCATGAGCCGTCTTTAGTGGCCCAAAACACCCAACGTCTAAGGGCTGAAGTAGATGAGACGAATGGGCCGGCATGCAGAGTGTGATGATATTGTTTTCCTTGCAATATATCTCAAAGTCCGCAGAGTGGTGACTTTCATGCCCATCAACGACGAGGAGGCGACATCTACTAGTTGTACGCGGTTTTCTATGCCGATCAAAGTACTGGAGCCAGTCTAGGCCTCTTTCATTTGTTGTCCATCCGTCTTCAGACGTTGTAATGACCTAGTCGCGTGGGAGACCTGTTTCTGTGTACCAGGTGGAGAGGTGATATTGGCCTGCGACGATGATGTACGGCGGAACGCTGTAGCTTAACGAACTGATGGCTTGAATAACTGTAACCTATTCACGATTGCCAGGCTGCGTCATTTTCGTGTTTGGACGCCTTTCAGCACTCGTGACAACTATTCCGGATGCAATCTGGCCTATCATAAACCCAGTCTCATTAAAGTTGTAGATATCAGAGTCTACGATGCCGTACTTCGCGATTGTGTTCGTTACAAGGCGAAACCACGCGTTTATCGCGTCTAGATCTTCGTATTAGGCCCTCTTATAGTCATACTTACGAAAAAGCGCGTCCGGAGCTATGGTTATCGCTTAACGAAGTTCGAAGCCCAGCGCTTCCTAACTGGGGGCGCGTCGCGGTCGGCGAGTAGTCGATTAGCCATTTCTTCTACACCACTGATCCGAGGAGGGAATAATCGGGAATCTATGTCGAAAATATACTTAACTACCATATCTTCTTCGAGTAACGTCAAATTCCGTAAGTTTAGTACGGTTTTAAGTTGTAAAGTTCTTCTATTAATACGGGTGCGTAAGGTTAAAAATGGCACTAAGTATATCCGAGCTACACCTTTGATACTCAAATTTGGTATTTTTTCGATAGCTTGAACTGCTAGAATTATGCCAGCTTCTTTGTTTGATAACTATATCATTGTGGTGGATAGATATGTGTTGGAAAGAAAAAGATGCGGCGGTCGCTATTGAGCGATCCGCTCGCTTGTCCGATCCGCTCGCTTATCATGCACGTTATATATTATTATAATCGGTAAAAAAAAAAAGGTTTAAACCAGTTGCCTTAAATAATATTAACCGGATGTAGGCGTAGTATATTATATTATAAGAAAATGAATTGTAAAGGTGATTTTTGGAAACCCTTAGCGATTATATAAGCGTGCGCCCGCCCGATTATATAAGCTAGATGTTACGGCCAGCTAGTCGTAGGGGTAGTTTGCAGAAGTTGAGGCTGCGGAACTGGTAACAGTAATCGTAGTCGGGGATAGCTTCAAGGAAACTATGTCTGTCAATCGTAAGGGTAGGTAAGGCTTCGGTGATCAATCGTAGTCTTGTCAAGGTAGTAGCTGAAAGCGGATGTTAATCCTGATACGAAGTTAATTGCTGAAGAGCTATGGAAGTCTGTCCTAGAGTCCAGCTCAAGTCCATCCTTATATACAAGTCCTGATCCTGAACATGTCCCTTGTCCCTTGGGTCGTCTTGGGTCATTCTGATCCAGAATGATCGTTTAGCCCCCAAGTCGTGTTGGATCATATTGATCCCAAATGATCCTTATCTTATCATCACGTGACTTGTACCATAGTTCTTCCGTTCCGTGAGAGGGTGCCTTGTGTCCCCTTGTCCTGTGCATGTATGGCGGCGTATCGTAACCGTCGTAAGCCTGCGGGGCAGGCCCTGTTCTTGGTCGTGCATGTTGGGTCGTAACACTAGAGCAGGCAGTACGTAGAAATAAGACCACCTATTAGTTATACATAAATAAAACATTTAATAAAGTGAGCAAATGTTTAAATCCTTTAGTTAAAAAAAAACTTATATAGTTAATATATAAATTAAACTTAATTAAAATTAAGTCAAGGACTTACTAAGTATTTAATTATAGTTTAGCTAGGTTAAGTAGTTAGACACTAAAATGCCCTCCTATAAACAATATTAATAATAGTAATAATAAAATATTAAATCTAAGAAATTTACTTATCTATTAAAGCAAAGATGGCCATTAGTAAGGCAGACCAGATTCTATGAAAGAAAAAACCACTAGTTAAATATCATTAATAATTAATAAAAGAGTTTATAAGCAACAAGGCAGACAAAATAAACAGATTAATTACAGGGTTACGTTATGCCCCTGTCTAGTATAACGTTTAATCTCCATAACCCCCCCTCCCTCCCCTGGGTAGTTATTTAATATTGCACTGGGTACGTAGCCACCCTTGCTTTTATGTGGAGCAAGGAGTACCCGTGCATGCGGGAAGCTCAACCTCACCTCAAGCGACTGGTCCTTCGTCTCGGACACAACAGTTCATCAGTTGTCTAACAGATAAGTCGGAGACCCTCTATATCGCGTTATTTCATCATAGCTCCCAATGGGTGTTTTCGCGCCGCAACCAGCTCATCGAGGGCGTCGTCAGTCAAGAAAGTCTACCGGCGTTGCCAGAGACGATTCAGACGATGAGCTTGGCATAGATGATCTTCCGTGGGAATGGATCCTTAAGTCCAATGACGCGGATGCCTCACAGGACCATGGCGACGATGCGCAAATCTCTCGAAAGCGAAGGAGAGCCAACCCTGAGACGCAGATTGTGGGGGCCCGAATGGGTCAATTTGAGTGCCACGTTGGCGACTGTGTTCTTCTGAAGGCGGAAGGGTCCAACGAAGCCTGGGTCGCCATAGTCTGCGAGTTCTTAGAGGAGGAAGATGGTGAGAAGGCAGCCAACTTCATGTGGTTTTCGACAGAGAAAGAAATCCGCAACAAGGAGAGGAAACGCTCGGATTTTCTGCCTGTAAGTCGTCCGGACTAGGCTGACTGTGCGAACGCTTACCATCGAGTTACCTAGAATGAACTATACATCTCACCTTCGTGGGATGTAAATCCGTTGGCCGCTGTCAACGGCACAGCCGTTGTGATTTCTCACCAAGCCTTCCATCAAAGGTATCCGTCGGGTAAAATACCTCGATCCTCACCCGATTTTGGTAAGACCTTCATCTGCCGTCGCGCATGCAACACAAGAACAGCAACCTACACAGATGAGTTTGTTTGGGAAGAAGTATATCATGCGAGTGAGCAGGGCGTTTCTGAACTGATCGGGTTCGTCAAATCACAAACAAAGTCGACGCGACATGGCCAGGCAGCGAGGCAATCAACGCCGGAGCAGTCGTACAAGATGACATCAGATCGTATGGGGGGTGCGTCTACACCGAAACGAACCCCGAGGGCCGAACATTCAACGCCCAAAGGAGATGCCCGAATAACGACGACACCCGGGTCTCGCAAACGGTATGTGCCTGCTTCATATCTGACTCACTCGGTGCCTCGCCTAACCAGCTGTGTTCATGCAGGGTAATGGTGAAGAAAACGCTTGAATTCACGCCTTTAGGTACGAGGAAACTGTCACCAAAGCGTTTGCAGTCTTCGCCCTTCCAGCTGGCTCGTTCCCAACTTCACGTTGCCTCAGTACCGAGAAGCTTGCCTTGCCGAGAGAGCGAGTTCAACCTGGTGTATTCACACCTAGAGGCAGCCATTGCGGATGGTTCAGGAAGCTGTATCTACATCGCCGGCACTCCGGGGACGGGGAAGACAGCCACTGTCCGAGAAGTCATATCTCGCCTCGAGGATAGCGTGAAGGCTGATGAACTTGACGATTTCATCTTCGTGGAGATCAATGGCATGAAGATTACCGACCCCCACCAGTCCTACACCCTCCTATGGGAGGCACTCAAGGGTGAGAGGGTCAGTCCTACACAAGCCATCGACCTCTTAGAGAGAGAGTTCAACAATCCAAGTCCTCGCCGGACGCCGTGCGTTGTCCTGATGGATGAGCTTGACCAGCTGGTGACGAAGAACCAGAGCGTCATGTACAACTTTTTCAACTGGCCTGGACTTCGACATAGCAGGCTCATTGTCCTAGCCGTCGCAAATACCATGGACCTTCCGGAAAGAACTCTGAGCAACAAAATCAGCAGTCGCATAGGTGAGTGTTGGACTTGGATACTGCGGAAGTTCTCCAAGCTGATGTGAAAATTTAGGATTGACAAGAATTACCTTCCCAGGTTACAACCATGAGCAGCTCATGAAGATTATTCAGTCTAGGCTGGAGTGTGTACCCGGAAGCATCGTCGAGGCAGACGCTATACAGTTCGCTAGCCGGAAAGTGGCTGCAGTAAGCGGCGATGCAAGAAGAGCCCTGGACATCTGCAGACGAGCTGTAGAGCTCGCCGAAGGTGACAGCCGTGTCGAGACACATGCAGGTGACTCCGACGCACGACGATCAACCCCGAGCAAAGGCAAAGCAGCAGATGCACCAGTCAAAGTTACCATCGCCACGATTAAACGTGCCATCAACGAGGCCACGACCAATCCTGTGCAACAATACCTTCGATCTCTGCCTTTTGGACCCAAGCTACTCCTGAGCTCATTATTAGTCAGAATACAAAGAAACGGCACTGGCGAGACGACGTTTGGCGACGTAGTGGACGAACTACACCGCATTATTAAGCTGGACACGGCGACTCTTGAATCCACTGTTCTCTCGGCTCTGTCGACGGGGCCATCAGGAGGTGATATCGGTCAAGGCAATGATAGTATCCGGATAGTCCAGTCTCTGGCGCTTCCCCAGGCGGCGCTTGAACTAATGGGTGCTGGCATTATTGTACTAGAAGCGCACAAACCGGAACGACCAAGCAAGGTGCGTCTTGCTGTGGGTGACGAGGAGGTCAAGATGGCGTTTCGAGACGATGGAGAAGTAAAGGCCTTGGGTTTGTTTTTCTAGATCACTGTCTGTACTGTAGGTCCTAAAACGAGGCAGGCTTGGGGGTCGGGTATCTATTCGTGACAAGTAAGGCAGGGTTTCCCGAGCCAATCATCCTATGCTAGTTCTAATATTTGCGCCTGGCCAGTGTTGGCTGCCAAACAATGGGGTGTGACTCAGGTGTCGCCTTCTCATCCTGCTTCCATATCTTGATCGTCTTGTCGGCCTCTCCGCAAATCAAACGCAGCCCGGAGCGATCAAATGTAGAGCTCATAATGCCCGCCTCGGCGTCCAACGACCCCGGCTGTGCCGTAGTATCTAGAGACTGGAAGCGGTGGCCTGTCTTCCAGTCCCAGAAACTCATGGAGCCATTGTCGCCACCCGAAAACAGAACGTTTTCCTGGTTGACGCTGAGCGTGTTGATGATGGAATTGTGGCCGTCAAAGTTTTGCATGAAGGCGCCTTCGGGACATTTCCACTGCTTGATGCTTCCCGTGCTACCACTGGCAAATGTAAACTCTGAGGGATGCGTGGCCAAGGCCCTGACGCCCTTTTTGTGATGTGTTAAGACGCCCATTGTCTTTCCGGCAGCCAGATCCCATAGTCTTACTGTCGCATCTAACGAGCCAGTCATGACCTGAGGATCAGCCTCTTGACACTTGACATCCGATACAGTCCCGGTGTGGCCGGATAACACGTGAATATTGCTTCGGGTTCGCATATCCCAGACTCTTGCGACACCGTCTCGACCGCCAGTGACCAGTACATCCAAGGTAGGATGGAGAGCGAGTGTGTAGACGCCGCTTAGATGTCCGTGGTAGTGGCGGATAACCTTGTTTGTCTCAAGATCCCAGCATTTGACCATCTTGTCTTCGCCACAGGAGAACAAATAAGGGTGGCGCGGGCTGACGGCAAGGCCACGTACGGTCGATATATGTCCGGTCAGAGTCAGGCGTAAGGAGCCGGTGGCTAAATCCCAGATCTTTATAGTCCTGTCGCCAGCACCACTTGCAAACCATTTGTTTCCTGGCTCGACCGCCAAGCTCCGAACCCATCCCAAGTGACCAGAAATGACCCTCATTAGCTTCCATGGTGGATGCCACTCAGGTCTGGCGCCGTGAGGAGTTGACGCGGCGGCCCGGGTCAGACCCGTGGGCTGGGAAAGTTGGGAGTTGTTGATGTTGTCTTCAGCACCAGGAACGCCAGAGCCGGGTCCATTGGGGCCCTCAAGAAGCTTTTGCGTAGAGTTCTGCCTGACAAGAGCCTGGTCTGGCTTGGAGTGCGCCTTGATCCGCCGTGCCTTGGTGGGAGCGGGCTGCTTAGCGGCAAGAGCTGGTGGAAGCTGCTGAACACCAAGGTATTCGAGTCTGAAGCGACGATCAGCACTCGTCTCGTCGTCGCTGGCCTTCTCGGCCGATGAGTCGCTAGGCTCAGTCCTTTGTCGCTTCCTGGCGGGGAGCCCTGGATCCTGGGAGTAAATGGTTCGGGTTGTCTTTTGATTGACGTCTAGGAGGGACCCTAAAGGGGTGGTGTCGGACGAGGGCGCCGTCGGTTCAGCCATAGCGGCTCCCATGGCAGTGGCAGCCTGACCGGGTCGATGGAGCAGAATTATCGGAGGAATGTGTTCTCGTCGAAGTTGCGTTGGTTGGATGGCCTTGTCCCTGCGCCGAGTGCTGAGGAGTTATTGTGGTGCGTCGCGGTGCGACGGGCTGAGATGGGATGGATTGGAAAAAGACTGACGCGCCAGAGTCTTGAATTGGATACCTACCTATCCATGTACAGCGTTGGTCTGGGTGGGTACGTACCTGCATCACCGCGTGCCACCGTGCGTTCCTAGGTACCTTAACTTTCCATGGCTGTTCATTGACGTGGTCGGTACATTATCCGTACCTTGATGTGACTCGGCACCTTGAGCTATGCGCCTTAGTATCGCTACATTTATCGAGAGTTCCATAGGTAGCTATATTCCTGGACGAAGTCTTGCCCGTAGTCTGCAGATGAACGTCAGGCACCTGGGGACCTTGAGCTTGAGGTAGGTAAGTGGTAAGGTAAGGTACCTTGGTCATCACTGCATCTACCAACTACAAAGCTGTACTACCACAAAAGAGGGAAGATCTCACCTACCTAATACATTCCTTCCCTCGCTGGGTGAGCGTCTCCAAACATCTTTTCAAGTCACTTCCATAGCTGAATGATTTTGCTGCGTACCTTACCTTACTGACCTATGTGAGGTGAAGATGATGACCACATTGCCTACTGCGTACTGACTCCGGAAGGCGCCTACCTAAACTATACACTTCTTGGTGCCGAGCTTTGGAGCTCACTATGAAGACAAGGTGCCAGTGACCATTAGGTACCTACCTCACTTGAGGGACCACTCAGCTCATGTCTCCTCCCTCAATAACGTGCTCTCCTCACCTTTCACCAATTCATCTCGAGCAAGTGACGCGCGAAAACTTCCGATAGAGAATCCTCTCTGCAGTCGGCTCACTGATATAATACATATCCGTCGGGGTTACTATCGACTTCACTTTGTCCCAACTACGGTCTAACTCTACCTACAACTTCAAGCCCGTCTCTCACCGAGCTTGACTTTCCCCCGATCTAACCGTCAACACCATCGGCTTCACTTAACGATATTTCTCTTCGTACCCCAGCACGCCACAGATCATTTGTCATCATTGGAAGAAATTCGGAAACCACAACAAGAAGGCGACAATAACCAGGATGGCAGAGACTCAGGACAAGTTTCCCCTTCACACTGCAGCCCGCGAGGGCAAAGGTACTTATTTGGCGAGGAAAGCTGCGGCTGTCGCTTTGCTTCTCAAACCCGCTAGGTCGTAGGAATGTGGCTAACCGGTCTTGCAGTCTCCGTCGCAGAAACTATTCTCAAGGTGGCTCGCATTTTGAGGCTACATCAGATTTACACATTTACTGATATTGTGTTGTAGACGGAGCCTAAGCTCGCTGTACGAGAAGACGATGATGGCAGGCTTCCCATACACTGGGCCGCGTCCTCCAACTGCATCGACATTATCATTCTACTTACGCAGATTCGTAGCTTTGACCCTGATGTCCAAGTAAGTGAAATTCCCGGGAGGCTTTGCTCTCACGATGTTTCATGACCATATTCACCCGAGTCTAGTTCACGTACTAAGCTCAACCCTCGACACTTAGGATGGCAGCGGTTGGACGCCGCTGATGATCTCTGCAAGCCTTAAAGATGGCGAAGATCTTGTAAATTTACTTCTCCAAAAGGGCGCCGATGTCAACCTGAAGAGTAAGATACTCTCACTATGCTTATTGCGCCCCCCTAAATCCTGGACCTTCTAACAATCACTTGCATGTTCCAGACCATAACGGACAGGTGAGTAGGAGGAGGTTCACAATACTATCCTCTCTCAGATTCGGGGTCTGATTCGGTTTGACTTCAGGGTGTTCTGCACTTTGTGGCATCCAAAAACAACTTAGACGTCGCAAAGAAGCTTCTCAACCACGACCCGCCCGCGTCTACCAAGATCCGCGACAAACGCAGTCAGTATGCCATACACAGGGCTGCCGCCATAGGCTCAGTTCCGATGGTGACACTTCTGATCAAACACGGGAGTCCTCTCAATGCCACCGACGCCTCTGGCTACACTGCCCTGCACCACGCTGTTGCTGAGGGCCACGGTGCGCCTAACTCCAGGCCTCGGCTACACGATATGAAAGCAACTGACATTTCAAATCAGGTGACACAGCAGTGGCTTTGCTAAAAGCTGGTGCCGTGATCAACAAAAAGGACAATGATGGGTGTCTACCTTTAGATTTGGCTCCGGACAAGGAGGTACGTGATGATATCAGCCCGACAACCTCGTGCTTCACAAATCATCTTGGCTAATGGCTCGAGCGCCTTTGTAGGTTCGCCGCTTCATTGAACGCGCTGCCGAGGAGGAGGGCATAGAGCTATGAATAGGTTTGAGCTAGCCACAGGCATAGCACGTGGTATTTCGCCTCCCTGGCTCGGGTGGTGGTAGGAATACACTTTCATGTCGACTCGCAGCAAATTACAACCGCGTGAAGAATGCGTTGCTCTGTGTGCTCGGCACTCATTATTCCTTTATCTGATTGTGCGCTCTACTAAGTCGCGATACATGGCCTTGACATCCTGCACGTCAGCCCGCAACTCTTCTACTAGCTCGCTCTTCTCCCCGAGTAATTCTAGTGTTGTCTGGTATCTCGAGTTCAAATCCTCAACCTGTCCTTCCAACTCGGTCACCCGTTTCGAAGCCGTCTTGCTCGACTCCAGCTCTTTCATTAACGAGACGATCTCGGCTCTAGCCTCATCTCTTTGTCCCGATATGCGCGCCAATTCTTCCCGGGACGTGACCTTCTCCGCTTCCAATCGCCGGATGGCCGCACTCATTCTTTCTACCAGCTGTACCGAAGGTCCTGCACCAACCGTCGACACTGAAACCATATCCTGCATCATTTGGCGAGGCGACGATGACGTTTCCACGCCGTCAAACAAATCGTCTTTGTCGCCTGCGTACGATGTGGGCGTAGGCAGCGAGTCTGGAGGCAACTCAAACGAAGTGATGGAAGGTGCAACCGGTAGATTGGAGCCGCTGGTTAGCATGGGCGGTCTAGCTGGAGGCTGGCTTGATAGTCTTCTCCCTAGCTGTGAACCCTCCTGGAAACCGTCCGTTCCACTAGTCGGGGTCGATATCTTGCGACCCTTGCCAGATACACTGTGTAGTAGAAGTAGATCGTTGCTCATCGTACGCGTGGGTACAGAGAGCAAGGGCGAGTCTGGACGACTCTGAATCCTAGATCCAGGGCCGGACAAGTGGTCTTCTAGCCAAGGCCGACGGTCGAGTTCAATCGTTTCAGTCTTCCATGCTGCCTGCTGCTTTTCGAGGTCAAGTCGGGCCTGCGAAAGCGCTGCCTCGGCGTTCTCTGCTCTTTTTTGAAGCATCTCATTACGAGCTTGAAAACTGTCGATATCCCGTTGATAGCTGGGAAACCTGCTCGTGAGCTCTTGGAGCTCTTCGTCCTGGCGTTTGCATCGGGTTGCCTGTATCCGGTTAGAATAATGACACACACAATGACGGAAACTCCAGTATCTGATCTGGAGGAATAGCAATGTGTCTTACAGTCTCTCTAGCCTTTTTCCTCATGTCCGACTCGCGTCGCAGAGCATCATCCCTCTCGCGCTCAAGGTTGGCCACTCGTGCGATCAGACTGGCCTCGATACCCTGCCAGTTTTCCGCAGCAATGGCATGCTGCGTCTGCAGTGTTTCCACTTGACGCAAAAGTTTGACTTGAGAGTCACCCACGGCGCCAGAGGACGCCTCTTCCGCTAGCGCACGCATGGCCTCCAGCTTCCCCTCCATTGCTTGAAGCTCTACCTTCATCTCGAGTTCCTTGGCGCGGGCGCGCTCGGCGGCGCGCGCTGCTTTTTCTTCCGCCTCTGCTGCACTCTCCTTTGCCCGACCAGCGATCAGGCTCCGCTCCAGCTGCAATGCGGCGACAGTATCTTCAAGGTCTTTGACGCGGCGTTTCTCAACGGCCAGTGCCTCCTCGTTCGCCTTACCTACAGCGGAACTGGCCTGGTCGGAAGCTCTCCGGAGATCATCCCGTAGCCTTTGCATTGTAGATTTGTTGGTTGACACTTCATCGCGCAATGCGCTTAATTCATCTTGCATTCCGTTGGACTTGATATGCAGTTCTTGGTTTGACTGTTCCAGTTCCTCAACGCGGCTGGCTCGGGGGCGTAGAGTTTCCATGTCAGCAGTCAGCTTCTCTTGACGAGCACGCAGCTCTCCCAAAGTTTTCTCGTCGCTTGCAATCTGTGTCCTGAGTTTCCTGATGATGGCCCGATGTTTCTGCTCCGTGGCGGCCAAATTGCGGCCTTCGTCCATGAGAGCCGTAATCTTGACGTCTCTTTCAGCAAGTACTCGCTCATGACTTCCCGTAGGTGCCGCCGCCGCAGACATGCGTGCGGCATCTGTAGCATCCCGTGCCAGGAATTGCAGCTTTGCTTGCATGGACTCAAACTGTTCGACATAGCGATGCATCTCCTCCTGTTGCTCCTTTGCCGACTGTTCCGCCCTAGCTTCCAGGGCCTCGACCTGTGCATGAAGTGCCGTACACTGATTACATTCGATCCGGTTGCCACTTGACGTGGTGGCTGTTTCGAGTTCCAGCCGTTGATCTGGGGTGGCAGAGTTACCGTCCTGTTGAGCCTCCGAGGCTCGGCTACTCTCCATTGAATTCGAAACTCGCTGGCTACTCGAGGGATCTTCTTTGGAGGTTTCAGTGATCTCGTCCTCGTCCTGGATAGTGTTGTTGGGTATGGCAGTCTCAGTCGTGACTACCACCGGCGCTGGAGTGTTCGCCAGACTAGGGGCATCGGCACCCATTTTTGGAAGCGTACCGGCTCCTGGACGACCGCCATCGGCACTTGGTCGAGTACTCTGGGAGTCTGATGTTACGCTGCGAGCGTCGGACGGCTGGGTGTTCTTGGCCGCAATGGCCTTGGCAAGGCGCTCTTGTAGGCGGTCGTTGGTACGGCTGCTGGTTGAGGATCGAGGCTGGCCTGAGATAGATATGGTCAGTACCACTGTTGTAGTATCGCGCCATGCTAGTCCGAGTCAAAGGGGGGGATAGGGATTTACTTATTTGCTGGTCCTTGGAGGGGACCGTGGTAGAAGCCGCGGTAGACTGGGGAGCTTGCGGCGGGATAGCTCCATTCTCTCCCTCAGCAAGCATGTTATCGAGACGGGCCTCGACGCCGGCTACAGCCTGCTGGAGGAAAGAACCCCAACGTGTCGACTTTGCGGGAGCTGCCATGATGACGGTCGGCTGTTAAATCGGTCTTGGATAGAGACGGAGACGGCTGGGCTATGCCACGTAGCTGTTGTGTGTTTCGGAGGTCATGAACATCTCGAGTATGCCTCCAAAGACCGCAATACAATGGGATTGAATCGTGCTATCGTGCTACCTCGCCAGAGGGAGAGTTGACTGTCTTTCCCGTACTCAGCAGGAAGTGTGGTGGTTGCGCGTTCAGTGACTACTAAGGGCGAGAAGCTTTGGGAGTCGTGGTGCTGAAGCAGGTGGGCCGGTTGCGATGAAGAACAGCAGTGCAGTGCGCGGTAGGTAGTGATTGGGTTGGGCGTCGGTTGGCTGAGGAGAAGTGGAAGAATGGATATGTTGGTTTTCTGTGCCAGGTGTTTAGACAAAGGATGCTCGTATCTAGTGGAAGGACAACCAACGTAGCATGTAAGGGAGCTGGAGTAATACCTGTCATTTATTTAGGTTGGGCAATGTGCAGATGCGGTTCCGTGTCGGGTTGCGGCAAGGCAGGGAGTACGCGGCACTAATACTTGGGTAGAAGGAGAAAACCACAGCTCTTACGGATACTCCGTATGGCGCGAAGATCTGGCTCGAGGAGGGGTGACCGTTTCACGCAGGGCACCTCACGTACCTACCTCGGTGGGCGTGCAGCTCAGATATTCCAACGTAATCTGTCTATGACTCGAGTGAGGTAGGTACCTTAGATAGCTTAAGCTCCAAGGTGATCAGAATGGGCACACCTCTAGCCTAACGTCGTGATACTAATGCATAACGTACAATGATCTTCCCGGCCACTCGGTATTCAATTCCATGGTGTGGACACTTCAAGGCGACATTATGGGCACATAGTACTTCTTCCGCAAGGGGCCCCTGCTCAGATGGCAAATGGCGCTATAGAGACCAAGGTAATACTCCGTAGGTACAAAGAGACTGTGGTGATGTGCCCATCATGTTAGGTACCTACTTCTTGCGGCTTGCAAGGTAAGGTAAAAGGCGCTCGCTTTATGGAGAGATACCTTTTACATGAAGATTGCCGCAAATAGTGAATTGATGCGAACTTGAGACTCTTTCAATCATCTGGATCGCAATAGCAATGCTTTGCTCAAATATGGCTGATGCGTTCTAGATGCTAACAACACAATTTTCAATTATTAAATTCTCCGTACATGTTGAGGTACCTTCTCCCAGTAGACATGAAAATAAGCAGAAACATGACCTTAGAGGAGCTTTCAAACCACCCACCCGAATACGTGCATAAGCGCAACCACCGCACGCCGTCAGGAGCGAGCTGCAAAAGGTACGTCATCCTCCACTGGGGCCTCGGAACGTCCACCGGAGCTGAACCGAGTCGTGTCTGCAACGTGGAACCAACGAGGTGCTACGCATTGTCGTTGCCATCCTCCTCGTCGGTTTCTGTAAATTTGTTCTTAACCACAAGGTATTAGTCCGTAGTCACTTATGTGGATCGTAGTGTGTCTTCTTCCCTCTTCCGCAAACTTGTATGCCAGGCCAGGCCAGTTGTGCTCTCATACCGAAGACAGCCAAACATCGGACAACAGGCAGGGCCACAGACTAGTCCAAGACAACCCTTCTCAACTTGCAACCTGCAATACCTCTAATTTCTTAGAATACCAACCAATGTGCTTGTGGCTGTCTATTGCTCGCCATACAGTGCAACTGGAAGTCAACCGGCCGAATCTGACCCAGCCTGTCGCAAGATACTGATTCAACTATCCTCCGAGCGACCCGGCACTTCTTACGAGTCTAGTACGACTCCCCCCCTCCTCTTTTTCTCTCTCTCATTCTCTGTGTCTATCGGGCGTGCGCCTTGCTATTCTATTCCCATACCTTTGCGTCTCCGGCGCCGCTCGGAACACGTAGACGGAAAGTTTAAAAGACCTTTTGGGACATTCGGAGTCTTTCAGCGGCATTCTCTGCAGCCGTGGCAAAACACCGCTGTCCCCCCTTGTCTATCTCTCTCTCTCTCTCTCTCTCTCTCTCTCTCTCTCGCGACAGAGCAGCAACTTACCCTGCGTCGAGCCAGAGCCCATTGAAGCTGAGGAAACCGCAATTTCTATTGCGCTGCTTCTTGGCTTGCTGGCCCGGTTTTGCCTGGTCAAGACTGTCCGCCACCAATGGCTTCATCTCCATTGTTCCAGGCCCTGCGCGTGGCGTACAATGATGATTCCCCAGACGGCTACTGGGGAGAAAAGACTTCGACTCTGAATTTTTGCGAAGAGGTGAGAAACACATCCCCCACTGATATGAGAACTTCTCAACATCCTTGCTATTGCTGACCTCTGCTTACCATTGTTGACGCAGGACTATGTAGTCTCTTATTACTGTGCCGAAGTCTGCAATGTAAGTGATCACCAACTTCCCCTGCTCCAGTCAGCTCCTATCTATACTAATTCGGTCACCTGAAAGACATTGACGAATCTCCTATTCCTATGGCTTGGCTTTAAGGGCGTCTATAATTGTGTATCTCAGGGTCACCCACGCATATTCCTCATAGCATATCTCGGATACGTTATCGTTGGACTAGGCTCCACGGCCTTCCATACATCCTTGAAATGTTCGTCCTCGCTTCTCGCTCTGAGCTCAGTATATCTTTTGCTACCTACACTTGGAGTACTGAACTGACAAAGCCACCTGCCTAGACCCCATGCAGCTCATCGACGAGCTGTCTATGATATACACCACGTGTCTCATGGTCTTTGCAACGTTTTCATTCTCGAAGTCTAGCAAATTTTCAGTCCTTTTAGGGAGTGGTCTCGTTATCTTAGCTGGCTTTATTACGGTGCGTGGTTTCTAACCCAGTAACCATGCAAAGCATGGTAACTGTGAGAGCCCAGAGTTCTGACCATAGCACAATAGTCATACTACCACATCACTAAAGATCCGGCTTTTCACCAGGCCTGCTATGCGGCGTTAACGGCAACGGTAATATGCTGAACTCAGTCAGCGCTCAAGTACCTCATCGGAAAGCTGACTGACGCTGCGCAGGTTGTTTTACGCAGCTTGTATGTCATGGAGACGCAACTACGGCCAGTCCTGTCACGAAGAAACAAGGACAAGGCCAATCTCATTCTCAATACCATGTGGATCATGGTTGGAACAGGTCTCTTGGAATACCACCAAGCTAGATGTGTTGTTCTGCTTTGCTGACAGGAATGATCAGGACTCGGTGTCTTCCTCATGGGTTTTCTCATTTGGAATATTGACAATGCTTTCTGTAGCCAGATAAGGCAATGGCGACGACAGCTTGGCCTGCCCTGGGGCGCCTTGCTTGAGGGTCATGCTTGGTGGCACTTGATGACAGGTGTTGGTACGTATTTTCCCAAGCGGTACTGCCTTTTCTATCAAGGCCGTTGCTAACGTGATGCACAGGAGGTATGGGACAGAGAACAGGCGGTACTCTCATCTTCGACGTGCGCTAACAAGTTACAGCCTACTACTACATCACCTGGGGAATATGGCTACGTAGATGTCTCGAGGGCCGCGAAGATGAATACAGACTCGTCTGGCCAAGGTCGCTTTCGTCGATACCGTTAGTGGTCAAAGCGAAGAAGGCGGACTGAGGAATATGGATCTCAATGATGGACAGGCATTCAGTAGCCGTTCAGGGTGATGTTGCACAGGTACACCGGTCGAGGACTTGGGGACGGAAGCTGTGTATTCCCAAGGCGAAAGAGACACAAACATCTTCCAAGGCCTTCTATAGAACCACGAGCAGATAGAACTATCCGGCAGCAAGCACTGCTAGGCGCAGGTGACAGGATATTGTATGTCCGCAACCTACGTATACTACATATACCCCATCAATTGTAATCGAATTAAGCCAAGCACAATATCTAGATTGGACGGGAACTTCTGTAAAGGTAAAAGGAAGAATTCACTATCGAGTATCAGAAGACGAAGCAGCGATATATGCATAATTCGTTCAAGACATGTTTACTTTCCGCATATCCCTATAAACGCCATTGTTTGTGGATAGGTATCTCAGGTACAGATATGGAGCACATATATATGCGATAACACCGCTTATCTGAACCAGTGCCACACCACACCCACTACCTACTTACCTTACCTTAAGGCGTCCCCTCCAGCTTTGATAAGTGCGCCCCCACCTTGCTGTGAGCTTCTGTCAAACGAAAGCCCCCCTTCTCACAAGTTGCGATCTCACACCTCAGCCTGCCCACAATATCATTGTCAACGACACTGAATTTATTGCGAATCTCGGCTCCCTCCGCGGCAGCTTCACCATCTGAGCTAGCAAGAGTGACTTGGTAGAGGCACCGATCCAACGCGGCTTCCCAGAAACCGTCTCATCACCACATCAAGTCAACATGTCTATCCCGAACCAAGCGCTTGAAAAGGTGAGAGAACAACAGCGGTGGCATTCCGTTCTTTTGGCCCCTTTTTGTGCTTCAGCTATAACCTACTCACACATGTTCTCTCCTAGCTGATTCGAGAAATCGAAAGCCAAGCCATTGTGGCCCAACAGCAGATTGGCCAGGCGCGCACACAAATGACAGCAAAGCAACGTGAAATGCGCATGGTCCGTCTGACGCTGGATGAGGTTTCCACCTTGCCCTCAAACCTGAACGTCTACGAAGGTGTCGGCAAGATGTACGTAAACCCTCTGCTGACCCATGTCCTCGTTATGCGTGCTGCAGCCGGCAGTAATAGGACTAGCATCCATGGATGACATTGCTGACGCCGAGCCTCGGGGGCGGGAAAGGTTCGTCGCGTTGCCCACTCCGCAGCTTACACAGAAACTGGAGGGCCAAATCAAGGATAGGGAAGGCGAGGTTGAAAAGCTGAGCCAGAAGCTGCACTACTTGGAGACAACATACAAGAATAGCCGGCAGCACATTGACCAGATGCTCAAGGCACAGTCATGATGGCAGATGCTGTAAGAGGAAAGAGGGAGGGGAGCTAAATCATGGGACCAGGAGCTTCTTCCATCATGGATAACGGAAGGAGGATATGGAGGTGAAGTGTGTCTCCATGCAATCAGCGTCGAGCATCGGGATGGGACGCCAAGGGCACCCGAGTTGACACGTGCTTCTTCGGCTCCGAGTACGAGTAGCACAGCATCTGAAGACGTCTTTCTCCAAGGGACCGCTGGCAATGCGGCGCGAAAAAATGAACTGCTTGTACGTGGTAGTGGTCACTTGATGCCAGCCTCGTCTGGGAACTTCCTCGGGCATCGACTCGAGTCTGGTTGAAACTGGCTTGAGACGTAGGGGCGCAATTAATGGTGCTGTCATGGACGAACCAGAGCACTGTTTGCGGTCCAAAGCTGAAATTATGCGTGTCAACATAGAAAGACGTCTCACATGAGTGATGACTCTGATGGGTGACTGAAGATCGAGGCCAGGCACTCGTACCTGCTGGCAAGACGTGCAAGTTGGGGGCCGAATCTGCAGTGCCCGAAGCCTGAAGTTTATTATTGTCTACGGTTGGATGAAGAGGAGCAAGCATTCGTGCTGTCTCTACGACGTGCGCTAACGATTTAGGCGCCGCGCCTCTCTCACGTCGGCAAAGATCCATGTCAACGGTCTCGGGTGCATGTTCGTCTGGGGCGAATGGGGCTTCCTCAGGCGGGAGCATACCTAAGACTGAGATGGCCCCAGACTCTGGTGGGACATCTTGACAACCGCCGCAGTCTTAGGTACGCTCGAGCGTGGTACGACGTCCATATTCTCTGTCCGCTGGCTTTCGTTCATTGGCGATGAAATTCAATGGCTTTGGGCATGCAGAAGAGTCTACATACAATGTTGTCAAGTGTGGCAACATCATAGATGTCCAGCAGATCACGCGACGGGTGCAAGTTTGCCGCCGGGGTGACTAGAGCGTTTGTAGACAAGTGGACATGGACTCCCGTCACGACTGTCGTCGGCGCAGAAGGTACACTGCCCGCCTACAGTAGGTAGTACCATCCACTCTTTGTTTTCCAAATTACCGACGGTCAGCCCTCTTGTGGTACTGTGTATGTCTAAGACCCGGCGGCTGAGGTTCAGCTGTGGTGGCCTGGACCTGACCCGTTGGTACTTGAGGATACACGAGCTGATTCGGCCTGCTATAATTACCTGGGTACGCAGGCAGCCGTGAAAAGAGCGCTTTTGCCGTGTTGGTCCACGTTCGTTTATCCGCAGATGACCGGGGCAAGGGATCGATGGCCTGAGTGAAATGTTTCACTGCACCAGGGCCAGAAAACGGCTGCCTGATAAGGTGGGTGATGGTTTGCTGGAGACATGAGGGCTCCTGGTCGCCGCTTGTCGCTCGAGGAGTCCAGTGAGGGGGTGGCCGGGGTGGCCGGGGTGCCGGGGTCCGGGGGGTTGGAGGCTCTGGGCCCCACATCGGGTTTGCAGTGCCATCCACAATGTAGGTAGATGCATCTGATTACCCATCTCATGGTGTCTTATGGATATCTGGCAAGGCAAACGATACAATGCCTAATAGAATCACCCATCTCACTCCCATTCGTATCAAGAAACACCTTAAGATATGAGACGAAGGTGTTTACGCAGCAAGGTTTTAAAGCCCAACTGTGTATCCGTACCTATGGATACTCCGTACGTGCTCCGTACAGACTGGATGACCCCACTCTGTCAGCAATCGCGCAGCCCTACGACATCAAGCTAAGCCATGTCAGGCCTCGAATGAGAGGATATCTGCGTACCTCCCCTGCTACCCTGCCACCTGCCACACTGCATCGAACTGCGAAGGACTAAGGAGGCAGTGACACCCAGTACCTATTCAAAACTAGGTATCCGTATCCGTACACACCTGAGATGGCAGTCATTGTGCGGATGAACCGACGAATGAACGGCCTGCCCCGTGCTTTGCCGATGCTGACTGCCCCGCCATTCCCTCCCGATACACCGATAGATGGAAGAGGCAGGCGTCACAACAGTGTTCCTAAGGTATGTAGGTGCCTAGGTATGCTGATGCCATCTTACCTCCCATGTGTTCCATACACCTCCGGCAGGTAAAGCATCTTGAGGTGAGTGTTTCTGGTTCTGCGTCCTCTTCCAAGATACCATGCTCCGCGTTGCTATGCTTGCACCCCTGATACTCATTGACTAAGGTGGTAGTAATTATGGCGGCGGTATAGGAGCCGAGACAAAGCAGTCCATCGAGTCTGGGCTCATGTGGACACAGAGACTAGGCAGGTTAAAGCAGAGAGCTGGCGATATTGTCACGACCCTGTGGCGTTGGCGCCCACCTATCCAGACCGTTTTTCTCCCCGTCTTAAACTACCTACGTTAGCGATCCCCCTCGACGCCGCTCCCACATCACAGCCTTTCTATTCACATCAATTTCATGAGACAAGGTTGGTAGGTACCTACCCTACTTTACCTTACCTTAGGTTCCCTCCTCGGGCGGTGTTGGAACTTGGGACCCCAGGCCCTGCCATCCTGTACATACATGATAAACCCCTCTCTTAACCTGGTCGCTTAGGTTCCCTCATCTACAAGGTGGGCCATCCATCCCCTCCACTTCGCTCGATCCTCGCACTATGGCCAATCCAACCACTGGCTCCCCTTTCTACCATGCAAAGTAAGCCGACTGACCGACGGCCACCACCTCATGTCACGCATCTCGTCGTCGTCGCCCCCTCAGCTCTTACCTTAATACCCTAAGCCAGAAAAAGCATAAATGACCATCGAGTCTTACTCTTCCGCCACCAACTTCTCTTAAACCAGTTGGCCCCCCCCCCTTCCTATTCCTCGCCATTGTTGTGTTCTCTCTCATAGCACTCCCTATTCCTACCTCATATTGTAGACTCATAGAGGTATTAAGTGGTTGAGCCCTTGAATTTCACTCCCCGCTCCTGTCCACACCACTCTTACTTCAACGATTATCAAGGCATTCGGCACTATAGGCACGATGAGTAACAGTTACTACTCCGACTCGGACGACCTTGATATACGAGTCTCGAGGCGACGAGCACCGTCGCCTTCACAGGTTCACTATGTCGAGGCGAGACCAAGACCCGCTGCCAGGAACTACTACCCGTCAGCAGGCCAACAGCCTAGCTTCTTGGCCCCGGAGCGCACAGTCATCACCACCCGCACCCGATCAAGAGAGCGTTCCCGTGAGCGCCATTCTACTCCACCGGGTGGCCCCGCTCCGGCTCCGATCCCGGCTCCGGCCCCGGCTCCTGTGATCATCAATAACCGTATCTACAACGAACACTCGTCCGATGATGAGGACGACCGCCATATGCAGGTCTACCGCAATCGTCACCGGTCTCACTCCCGTGGCCACTCGTCTCATTCTCGGTCACCTTCGTCCTCTTACATGACCCGGGAGGATTATGAGGCAGAACGGGCTCGACAGGAGCTGGCAGAACTCCGAATCTGTCAGGCTCGCGAGAAAGAAGAACGCCGGGTCCAAAAAGAGTTCCGGGAGGAAGCCGAACTCCAGCGCGCCAAGCGCGATCTCGAAGATATCCGAACTCGTGAGGCTCGCGCTGCCGAAGAACAGCGCTTCAAAACCAAGATCGAGTTGGAAAAGTACCAAGAGGACATGCGCAAGTCAGACTTTACCAAGAAGCGAGAAAAGGAGGCTGCCGATGCTGTGGAACGTTACAAGAGAAAGGAGGCAGACCGCATTGCGCAAGAGAAGAGGGAGAAGGAGCAGCGTGAGAAGGAGTTCCAGCAGAGGCTCAAGGAAGAACGTCAAAAGGAGCTGGACAAGCTGGCCAAGGAAAAGAAGGAGAAGGAGGAGCGTGATAAGGAGTACCAGAGACGCCTTCAGGAGGACCTACGTAAATCAGGTCTCGACGACAAGGCCATCGCCGCCATCCTCAAGAAGGAGAAGATTCCAGAGCCACCGATGCAAAGGCCGGTCCAACATGATCACGCGCTCGTTCCCGGGAATCGCCCAACCTACACGCGAATGGCACGGAAGCATCTATCGATCGAAACCCTGAGAACATACCAGGTCGAATGGGAAATGGATGTTGTAAGCAGAATCAGAACGCGACTATCCCCTATTACATCTACTGACTTATCTCAGGACCCCGACTACGTGCTCATCAGACGATGGGTCCCGGAGTGGGAGCAAGACACCCTTTGGAGACACACCAGGTCGGTTCGCGAGAAGCGTTCATCCAAGCTCGTACTCGAGATCGAAGACAAAAAGCCCCACCGCCTCGAACCAGAGTTCGAGTGGGTCAGGAAGAAGAGTGACCGGAAGAGAAGCAAGTCGCCCGCACTCCTCATGTATCTTGCAGGAGCGAAACCCGCTTGATCGAAGAAGGCGAATTTCGGGTCGGCGTCGGGACCGAGGACGACAGCATTCATCTGCCATCGAACGCGACGATGGTGTTTCTATCTGGGACAAGATTTTATGTCCACACCAATCCAAGGGGTGGGGTGGTCACACAAGGTACCTCACATACCCGAGATGAACGACACCCAGACATGGCTGCTTATATGATTTGTTTTTGGGGGGGATATATACCATCAGCTACTAGTACAAGTCTTCTTTGCAGAACGTTGGGCTTCTTTCAGTGATACAAGGTGCCCGGGAATATGTGTTGGAGTGCGTAATCGCTATGGCTCCGCCGTCGTTGTTGTTGTTGTTGTCAAGTTTGAGGACCAAGTACGCTCAGCTCTCCTCATCAGCTCTTCGTACACAGTCCAGGCCAAAGCTGAACTCATTGCTTTTCTGCTCATGCGGAGTGCAACCCCATCCATAAGTGACCGTGTGCCCTCTTCCGAAATCATCTTGCGGCAAGCCTGGTACATGTTCCTGTACACGGCCGGCTGCAGTTGAATCCTGGTTTTGATAGCATCGAAAGGATTCGAGACAATGGAGCACGCTCCACCAGCCATGACGGCAGAGCTGAAATTGACGAGCGTTGCATGCGATGTTGTAATGGCGAAGGGGCGATTTGAGTTGTGTCCGTCCTTTGGAGTAGACAGACTGCTGAGCTGCTTCTTGAGCAGCTCGTAGAATAATACATACATGCCTGCATACGGTGCATCACGGACGGCGGTGGCACCGAAGCCAGCAAAGAAGCCTCGTGGACCATGCGTTCTGTAAATGTCGGAAGAAGCGCCGAGCAAGGATTTGTAGGAATACAAATTGGATTCATAGCGAACCTTGATGACGGTCAAGGGCATGAGTACAAAGCCGGCAAACGTTCTGGCGACGGCGCCGGCGACCAGGTTCGCCGATGGGGTTAGCGTCGGTAGTGAGGACGAGTGTGCTGCTCTGTTGCCGGCGGCTTGGCCCAGTAAGCGCGACTGGGCCACATGCTGGCGGATGGAGTTGAGAGATGTGAAGTAGAGGGCCGAACCGAAGCCGGTTCTAAGGGCTGATGGGATTGTGCCGCGCCAGAGCGTCTGGATCTTATTTGGGGCAGCGGCAACCTCCCTGAGATACGACCTCAGTGACCGGTGGCCAGATTGTTGAACACGGGTCTTGAGTAGGTCAAGCGGTTGCAGTAGCACCGCCGATGCAATACCGGAACCCAGTCCAGCAACAAAATGCCGAGCTGTGAGAGGAGATGGATAGGTCAGCGCAGACTCGATCAAAGGTGAGTATCGAGAGGAGTGTCAAAGGGGTAGGTAGCGCGCAGAAAACACGCGTATGATTCAACAATGACGGATGGATAAGTATTTCTGTCCTTTTCTTACATGATTTTGTACGGCCTGGGGTCGCCTGTTGAGACATGGAGACTTGTGAGAGAACTGATGTCGTATCTTTTAGACGAGGAGATGATACTAGGCGGATTGCGGTGCAATATCGGGTGGTGCGGTGGTGACTTTCTTTTATGTGCGAAAATGAGTTTGAGAAGCAAATGCCATAGCGTTACCAAATAAATTTTCTCGTAAATGTACAGAGTGCTCAATGAGCTGTGATGATATTGAAGGCAGAATGAGAACGGGAAGATGATCATAAGTCGTGATGACTTTTCAAGAGTGGCTGGCAGGGTAAATAGATATCTTCATAAGCACATGAGGTAGCCAAGTTGAGGTAAAGGTATGGTCGTGGAGGCAGGTCGGTGCTTCTGACCCGCTAGCCATATTGGGCAACGCTCAGCAGAAGATCGGGGAGCCGTCATCGGTGTAATGACGGTTATATACATAACAATCCCTATGGGTCCGACCGGGTCTTTCCGATCAGACAGCCTCCGGCAGGGCCGACGTTCCCTGCCCAATTTTCGACGTTTGCTTACACAACGTTGGAGAAACGTAAACCTTCGGTTGTACCCGATGACCTCCTCGAGAACTTGACATTCTCGCCTGTCGGTTGATTGCTATTCGAGCGCAGCGAGAAAAACAATGCCCATTGCTTGCGATGGCTAACATGCCGTCGAACATCCGTCTCATGAGGTGCTGATGAGTCGCCGCTGTATGACCTTGTCTTCCATCTTGCCTCCCTCCTTGCCTCGCTTTCTTGCCTCCCATCTTGCCCCCTTTGTAGTCATCTTCCACCAAACGTGCCCAGAGAGCGATACTGCGACTCGCAGCACCCCGGAGACTCATGCCTCTTTGGCCCCTGTCGCCTTGAAGTCACCAATAACCGATTCAAGGCGCCCAGACAGTAGCCGGTGCCTTTTGACTATGTCGACCCATTCAGACTGTTTTGTTACTTCGTATTCGTTCCCTAATGTCGCCAATAGCATTCCAAAATCACCTCCGAGCCTACCCAAACTCCCTGAACAGTACAAAACCTGCGTGAGGATACTATCCCTTGCTGCTTGGTCTTTCACAACTGGGAGGTACTTTTTCAAGGTTTCGAGGAGCATCTCCACAAGATGAAGCGGGAATGTTGATAGTGTTGATGGCATGGGTTTAAAAAGATTCTCGTCGTCGCTCGTAGTCCCAGTCTGGGGTCCAGTGCCAGAGAATATGCTCTTGAACATGGAGACAACGCTGAAGCTTTGCTCACGGAAGATCTCAACATAGCGTTTGAGATACTTTTCTGTCTGCTGCCCGCCCGACCAGGCCTGGTGATTGGCGCTCTGTTGCCTCTGCCTCTCGTCATCAGCCAGCTCACGAAGAGGTTGTAAAGCCCCCAGGGTAGCGTCCAAGGTGGCTACGCGGCAGCAGAGAAACAGCAGCGAGAGGGTGTGTTCCTGAGAACCACGGCTCGTGGAACTCATAGAGGACATGTCCGGAAGTACCCTTCTGAGCCAGCTGATCGTCCGCAATGATGCAGCCAGCTTGAGTCCAGGGGACTTGAGGGCAGCGATGAGATCGGCTGTCATCTTCACGATGGCCTCATCAGCTTGTTGGGACACGAGATCGACAAGCGGTGAAGATGAGTACAAGCCGTGAAGTCTCCGAATGTGGGCATTGAGATCGAGGGCGGATGCATAATTAGCAGGAACGGTGTTGATGGCGGACGAGAGTAGGGTTGGAAGTTCTAGCACGTCGACGAGACGTTCGACATTGCGAAGTAGCAGTAAGGCGCGTTTCCTCTCCGCCAGGTCCTCATTGTCCCGAGATTTGCTGTAGGTGGTGGAAAAGCGCAGGGCCTCTGCTTCAAGCTTCGGAATGGCATTCCGTAGGTCTGCCGTATCGGCGACAAGAGTGGGCAACGCGCGGGTTAGGCTAGTGTGATTTGAGGCCGAGTCGATGATGGACTTGTGAGAGCGCTTTGAGACGCCTTGAAGCGAGAGGAGAAGTGAATGTGATGTCTGGGCCAGGGATTGAGGCTCAGTCGAGGCCAATGCTTCCGGACTCTGATCGGCGAGATGGGACAGATATGCGAGCCTGGTTGACCTCGTTGTCGGATTGAATAGGTTGTTGGCGTCGGCATCGAGGCTTGTAGACTGCCGAGCATCGAGTAGGTCGAGGAGAACGTCGGCCATATTGATGAGATGCTCACATTGGAAAGTTGCTGTTGATAACTATAACTACCTTGGGCAGTAGGTAAGGTAGGTGTCGTCGAATACCAGACCAAGGGGTTATCTGTCACTCTCAGGGCAAGTACTGAGGTGGGAGCAAGTGGTGGCACCTGCAGGCTAGCTTGGGTAGCTTAAGGTAACTAACTACCTGTCACCTGGGTAGGTAAGCCATACCGATGAATTTAAGCAGGACATGACTAAAACCGAGGGCTGCAGCTACGGGGCCGTTGGTCTCACCTGCCACTTCGTCTATGGAGCTGAGGTACCCATTACCACCTACCTTACCTACCTTACTCCGTACCTTGAGGTAGTAATTAAGACCAGACCCAAGTAAATAGCACGAACGGCCGAGGGTGCAGAAACGTTTGAGCTTTCCAGGCGACCGGGATACTGATTGCTTGGTATTGAACTATGTACGGTTACCATACCGAAGTAGTGCACCTTGCTTACCTACTTACAGTTCACAGCACCGCCTCACTCAAGTATACCGTGTTGCGGTCCTTCTGTTACAGGGCGTGTGATGCCATCATGAGGCGGACAGCTAGTTCAGGCCCTAGCATCCCACGACCCCCGACCACAGTGCAGCTGACACGCAGCCATTTCGTGCCACAATGTAGAGCTTGGGTTCGCAGGCGGAATAGCCTCGAAAATAACTGCCTGAGAAACACTTCATGTCTGTGAACTTGAGCTCACGGCCACCCCCACCTCTGTGCCCAGTGCTCGACCAAGGGTACCTCACAAGGTCACGACACAGCTGGTGGGCGGCCAGGTGCTACAAGTCTTCAAGGGTCCTCCTCCATCAAGCTTAGCTTCCCCCAACAATCCGTCAGCTCCCCGCGCGCCGACCCCTGCTTTGCCTTCGCCTACCTCATAGCCACGCGAGACCTTGGGCCACTCACTCACTGCTCACGTTCGTTTCCCCTTGTCTCGACCGCCTCTAGCCTCTGACAGACTGACGAACCGATCCGGTGACAGAGAGCCTTCCTCTCCAAGAACACTTTGAAAAGGAAGACATCCCCAACGTCCTGTGTCGCAAGCAAGCTGTGCCGCTCACCTTCGACCCTCTCCCCAGCGTACCGCCGTCCTCTGGTATTCCCGAACCGAAGCAACATCCCTCTACAGCAGAAGCGGACAGCCGAACTCGAGTCGAGAGATCAACACGGAGAATGAAAGATCCTTTCTTCCTCGAGCCGCTGCCATGGCTCGTCAAGGCCACTCAGCCCTTTGCTGACTACTTCTCACTACCGACACTACCGATCCACGTTCACGAAGTCTTCGCCTCGGCCCTCTTCTACTCGGTCATCTACTACCCTGTGTCTCCTTTGCTGTCGCGATTGATCGTCGGCCGCAAATACACCGATCTACCTCGTAATAGACGCATAAACTGGGACGCCCATGTTGTCTCTCTTGTCCAGAGCATTCTCATCAACGGCTTGGCCCTCTGGGTCATGTTCGTTGACGAAGAGCGCAGCACGATGGATTGGCAAGCTCGCATGTGGGGATACACAGGTGCTGCCGGCATGATCCAAGGCCTTGCTGCTGGCTACTTCTTCTGGGATCTGATTGTCACGAGCCTCAACTTCGACGTCTTTGGAATCGGCACCTTGGCTCATGCTGTTAGCGCCCTCTTTGTCTTCTCTCTTGGATTCGTGAGTCTGCCTTTGACGATACAACCCACAACCACGTCTTTCTTGCTGACCTCTAAATCAATCAGCGACCTTTTCTCAACTACTACGGCTGCATCTTCATCCTGTGGGAGCTATCTACGCCCTTCCTCAACATCCACTGGTTCTTTGACAAGCTGGGAATGACTGGGTCCCGCGCGCAACTCTACAACGGCCTCATGCTCTTGTTCACTTTCTTCTCCTGTCGCCTCGTATACGGAACGTACCAGTCCGTCAAGGTCTTTTCAGACATCTACGCTGCAATCAACGCCCATCCCATCCTGCCCAAAGAGATTTCCCCGGAAACAGGCGCAGTGCTCGCCCCGATCGGTGTCATGAGGTTTGCGACAGCATCATCAACGGTGCCAACGTGGCTAGCCGTGACGTACCTGATGAGCAACATCACTCTCAATAGCTTAAACGTTTACTGGTTCATCATGATGATTCGTGCGGTTCGAAAGAGATTCCAGCCGGCAAAGTCAACAGAAAAGCAAGCTGCTATCGAGCCCTCTTCTGCCAAGGCCACAGCGCCATTTGCCGGGGTTCAAGCTCGTCGGCGTAAGGCATAGAGCAATTCAACAAGGAGAAGATGGGTATTTGCATGTAGATCTGTCATTCCCACCTTTGGCAGCGTGTGGTGTGGGAAGGCTGGATGATAACGGCATTGGGCAGAGCGGGGAACTGTATAAATACATGATAGGATGTTGCCCGATCTTTGAATTTGGGTGGCAGGTGGCTTATTGCTTATTGTTTTACATAATCGATAGATCAGTATTTCGTTTGACTTGCGTTGAGAAGCTACGCCAGTTTGAGAGACGAAGCCTTTTACTGTCTCATTCTCGACACCATATACGTGCCTCCTTGCTGCTGCTTGTTAATGCAATGCCCTTCAGGGCCAAGGCTACCAGATTGATGGCTAAAAAAACCACGGGTTTCACATTGATTCGGGGAGCAAGGTCAAAGGAGTAGTATTAAGTACATCTATGCACGTACACTGGTATGACGGTGGTAAGCACACATGGCACCTATGCTATGCAGGGTGTGTCCAGAAAAGGGAAGATACGGCCAGTTGATTCGCTCGCTCCGATCCGGAAGATGAGGCCATCAAGGACGGGAATGGATGTGCATTTAGAAACCGAAGGGATTGTTGGGGG